TGGTTCTCCCCAATTTCCTGTCCTTTGTAGCTCAATATATTTTGTCTTTTTTCTTACCTTTCCTGAACCTTGTTCTGCCAACCATTTACTCAAGTTCGCTTGGTAGAATATGAGTTGTCTTTCTTTGTGCCTTTCACCTTCAATCTGTCCTATGATCATCAAATTTTCCAAGCCGTCTTTCCTCATTATATGCCTGAGAAATTTCAACTGTCTCAACGGTTAAGTATGCTTCCTTTTGTTTCCATTTTCTGTATAACTTCATCGTTGCTCACATGTTCGGTCCATAGCATTCTCAGTAACCTTCTGAAGAACCACATTTCTGTCGCTTCAAGTCTCTTTTTCATCTTTCAGGAGATTGTCCAGCATTCACTGTGTAGTGCCTTAATAAACATAGTATCAGCAGCAACCCTGGGGAAAAAAAAAAAAAATAAGCGAACCCTTAAGTAACACTCTCTTCCTGTTTTTCCTCTTTTTGAAGTGTGAACCATCGACTTTTCACACTGGAGGTCTGTGAAAGCTTCACACACAAACACGCCCACATAGTCAAGTCACACTCAAATGCATTCATTAACAATTTTCGTTATATGTTCCATTCATTTTGTAGCGGTAACTTACGTCGGCGACCCAAAAGGGGCCAGCATCGAATGTATGTTTAGCATGGGAGTATGGAGACGGTGAATCGGCGAGCTTCGGACGGACGGTGAATCGGGCAGCACTTGGTGGTGTCGCTTGTAGCCATTTTTATTGGCTGGTTATGGGCGCTCATTGGCTGTGCCACGTGCATAAAGAACATGGTACGCTTATTTAACGGGAGTTCGCTCATCGTTTTGGACGGTAAAAGGCGTATGGGAGATCGAGACGAGAAGTGTGGATTTCGTTTTGTTTAGTGAACCTACTGGACTCATACTACCTTTCTTCCACACTTTCTCTTCCTGTGTGTACTCCCAACCAATTTTTGCACACATTTCTAGGAAAAGAAACTCTTATATTTTACTTTTATTATATTTGTTAAATAAATGTTATCTTCTATTGCAGATCAATCGGTCGTAATGATGATGTGCATGTACCTTTTCACCGCTATTATTTCATGTATTGTAAAATATTCTCGTAAGAACCTTTGTATATTAATTATAGACGTAGCCAACACTATAAGGAGAACAGGCATCACGTAACAGTTCAGTATTCTTTTCTTTGTTTCTAATATTATTTTTCTGTTTATTAATACTCTGCTTAGCTTTTGGAAGGCATCTTTGATTATCCCACTGCGTCTTCGGATTTCTTTGTCGCTCTTTCCGTCCTTGGTTAAAACATTTCCTAGATATTTAAATTGTGGGGAAGTGGTTCAACAGGGGACGGAAAATACACTGGAGTTTAAATGAGAGCAAGTTTTCTCAATACGTTATATTCTTTTTTTAATATTTTAACTTTTCTTAGTGTGTGATCCCAGACAAAGGCATTATTAAAATAACGAGATTGATATTATTATTTCAAGAAAATAATCATAAAATAATAAACAACAAAAAAAAAAAAATTTGATTTTATAGGACGAAAATCTTTTGTGCTATGAATGCTTGAACGAATACAAAAATTAAACAACTCCATTTCATAGAATTAATGCGCACTCGTTATCTTTATTAATTACTAAGAAGGAAAAGCAGTTTAGAAATAGTCTTTGAGCAAAGATTAAAATAATACATCTCGTAAAATCAATAATGGAATTGATAAATAAAAACAACAATAAAAACAGAAAAAATCAAGTTCTAAGAATAATAATAAAGAATGGGTTGATTGAGTGCATTGGTAAATACAACAATAATATTATGGACTAAAACTAGTGTAAAATAGCAGTAATAGTGAAGAATGACTTGCCCCAACATGTAAACAGGTGGTTGACCCAGCTGCCCTTAGGATGCGCACACTCAGGACAGGAAGATAAAGTAAAAAATAACCCAAGAGGTAAAGGAGAGAGAAAGAGTCTCTGACATACACGCTGTTGACCCAGATGGGCTTAGGATGTACAAACGCGTGGCAGCCGTATGACAGGAAGATATATAAACGCCCCACCTGAGAGGGGAAAGAGAGAGAGAGTTTATCATATCCTTGAGGTTAGCCCAGATGTGCTGAGGATGTGCAAAAACAGGAGAGTCGCATGAGAGGAAAATATATAAATCCCCACGCGAAGGAGTGTCTCTCACATTCTCGCGGCTGAACCAGATGCAATGAGGATGTGCACACGCGGGACAGCTGTATGACAGTATGATATATAAATCCCCACCCGATAGGGAAAGAAACGAGAGTCTCTCGCATCCTTGCGACTCAGCCAGATGCTCTGAGGACGTGACCACCCGGGACAACCGTATTATAAGAAGATATATAAACCGCCACCATAGAGGGGAAAGACCATGCATCTCTTACATCCTCACGAGAGGATTCTCGTTTGGAGAAAACGCCCGAATGTGCAAATTTATGTCTGAAAGGGTGTCAATGTCTTCCTCCGATGCGTAAACAGGTGGAAGATCCACGTTTGGATAAAAACCTGCAAAGTTACACATAACGTTCAGAAGTGAATAGTTAATAATTTTACTTATCAGAGATTAACTCTCGTCTTCTTATTAATTCTTCTGTCCTGGGTAAGACGATAAACTACATCCAACAGCAAGGCCTTTGATCAGGAGGTTTTGAGGAGCCTGGAACCACCTCTTAATTGCTGGTGTTCCCAGGTCCACCCTGCCCCGCGATGGCAGTACCTGTCAGGGTCCAAGCTGTGAGCAAATAGTTACCCGCCACCCCCGCAAAAGGGTCCAAACAATATAAAAGTACAAAAATAGATTTTAATGCCAACAGTACTTTTTTTGGAAAAATTACCAGAAATACCTTACAGCAGCCAGTCATGTTCCATACGTGATACACGCTTAGACGATCATGTATCTTTCGATACATGACTGACGAGGCAGATTTTTTTCCCGCAGTAGGTTGCCATTTTTTCTGCGGTAGACTGGTTGCCACCCAATGGTATAGAATCTGTCCTGATATTTACCCATAGAAGAAGAGGATTCATACTTTTCCCAAAGGTGTTAGCACGTAAGTGAACGTAATGGATTTGACTGGAATTCGAACTCGGCTCTACCGATTCATCAATCCGAGCAGCTATCCATTACTCCACCGTCCAGCAGTACGTTTTGAAACAGGAAAATATTACCAGCAATACATTTTTGGAAAAATATTACCAACAATAAAAAAAAACTTGTCGGCATTAAATAACACATTGAGAAAATTAGGCTATGTAAAATGCAGGTCGAAGATAAAGGTGTTACCTTAGTCAGGCATGTACAAAAAGAATTATCTAAATCTTCGTATCAGATATTTTACGGTAATCCCTCTTTATCACCAATTTGGGATATCTTTGTTAAAAAAAGAATGAAGACCATTTATTTGCTATAAAATATGTCCAGGAAGATGCCCAGTCCCTGCAATATTTGGCGACGGCAAACCTATTAATATTTCTCAGGAGCTGCGGTGGCATTAGACACGAGATAAATAAAAAGAAAAAATCACAAGTTCAAACTATACATAAAGTAGACTTATACACGAGTATAAACGGTATCCTTTTTGCCTTATTAGAGCTAACAGTCCTTTTCTTTCTTTCTTTCCTTTAGTACATCTCTATCTATAAAAGGCAGGTTGTGTGTGTGTGTGTGTGTGTGTGTGTGTGTGTGTGTGTGTGTGTGTGTGTGTGTGCAATGAATGCACGGCGGCAATTTTCGACGGATTTGCACCAAAATTTACATAAACATGCTACAAGTTAGTGGGAAGGGCGACTTTGCATTTCCCAACTCGATAGTGGAAATAATCGATTTTTGCATGCTTCTACGCCAGTTTTCATGTAGTTTGCGGCCATTTTCTACTGGCCAGAGTGAGATCCTATAGCTGGCTACCACGAATAGGCAGGAAGATTCTATTCGTGAGAGCTAACAGTTGACTGACACGAATGTTAGCTAGCATGCAAAAAAATCGATAGCTGCATTCGTCACAAGTGGGAAAAATTTAAATCTGCATGGCACTTTACTCCAATTGGCTCATTTGCTTGCTTAAACCCAACGTCCATTCTGATTACGCAGAACTGGGTTGGGTGTGAAAAAGTATTTATTGTTTTTCATTCGATTTTTCCAGTTAAGAGTCCTTTTTTTAAAGCTGATCGTTTTGTGTTCATTTTGTTTAGTTCTTTTTTCGTAACAGATTTAATGTTTAGTATAGAGCTTAGAAAAAATTCGCAGTGTGAGATAGGCAAGAAGTCAGGCATGTAGCAACATCAGCACGGCAAAGAGCACTCCTTTAAAGGCAAGGAAGTGCAAAAATATTTTAAGTCAAGTGATAGCGATTGTTGTATGAGTCGTACGATTTTTGAATCAAGCACGGGCAACGCCGGGCCATGCTGCTAGTTATCTAATATTACTTTATATTATTAATATTATTTTATTTTTTTTTTGCTATAAAATATGTCGAGGATGATGCCCAGTGTTGCAATATTTGACGACGGCAAGCCTACTAATATTTTTCAGGAGCTGGGGCGGCATTAGACACGAGATAAATTAAAAGAAAAACTCACAAGTCCAAACTATACATGAAGTAGACTTATACACGAGTATAAACGGTATCTTTTTTGCCTTATTATACTTAACAGTCTTTTTTCTTTCTTTCTTTCTTTCTTTCTTTTCGTACATTATCTAATATTACTTTTCTTTTTGAATTTGCTACCAACACAGTCATCCGTTTAATTTACGTTGTTAAGATTACGCCTGCCCATAATAAATCATGGTGGAAGTTCTGCTCCTCCTAAGATTATTTCACTCTATTGGTTATAGTCCTTAAATAACAATTCTTAGTTTTCTTTACTACCTTAGCTAAGATTTCATTTTTCCTTCTTAGTCTGCACTCAACACACATTCATCTGCATATCTTATGTTATTAAGATTATCCCCGCCGATATCTTCAGAGAGTCTATGTACCGACTGAACTTGTTCTCTGCTCGCATACAGGTTGCTGGTTCCCAGCGGAACATATCAAATATATATAATCAAAACATTTTTTAAACTCATACTTATTATTATCTGTATTTTTTATTAAATATTTTTTCTTGTTTAGTAATAATGCAAAATATTATTTGACGATTTTAGAAATAAATATCAGTTTTATGCTTCCATATCTATATATATTTTTTTTCAATTTTAAATACTTTCATACGGCACTGACGTAAATTCAAACTGATAAATAACACACGATAAAATCAAGACTGACTGTGATATTTTATTCAACGGGTTTAGATTAAAGATTTTTGTTCTATATTTTGGAAGATTTGATTGACTGTACGCGTTTTGACTTTTCTGTTTATTGATCGTAATTTTGTGTTTTAAATTTTTATATGCTGTTAGACCCAAAGGAGATGAAAGATTCTTTACAGATAAATATATAGAAACACAATTTTTAAAAACTGAAAAGCTACGGAGGCCGGGAAAAAAACTTTCGGTTTCCAAAGCATTTTTTTAACAAACAAAAAGATTCAGATTTCAGCCCCTTAAAAATTACCAGGATATTGCCAACAGAATCTTGTCTACGACACTGATAAAACACGGTTCTTGCTAATGACCGAGAGAGTCGAAAGCACTAGAAGAAAACGAAACAAACATGACAGATTATCCCTAATTTGGATCCCGGTGTAAAATATCTTATTTGAAAAGTGGAAAAATGCAATAAAAGGCTTACAGCATAAGTTTTTGCTTATTACAATCTTTATGAAGCACTGACGTAATTTCGAATAATATCAGTCTAAACAGTGAATGTGGACATGAAGTCTTTTATGTAAGAAAATTACGGCCAAAAATAAACTACGTGTATAGCAACAAAGTTCATAAATCGTTGTAGGAGCGAAGTGTTACATAAAAAAATGCTAATTTAAAATATTACAATCAAAAAAATCTACGTAAATTACCTTCCATGACTATATATATATATATATATATATATATATATATATATATATATATATCGGAATTTTCAGAGATGACCGTGTCCTTTCTCAACGTGAAATAAAATTAAGTTTGACATTTTTTGGTGCAGCAGGAATTTTTTCGCATGTATCATATTATTGATGAAATATCAGTTTTGTGTTAGTTGTTTGCCACCATGAGGGTTGTAAAGGTTTTATAGATGGCTCAATACAGTTTCTACATAGCCTCTAAAGGTCTAATCGTCTTTCTCTCTCTCTCTCTCTCTCTCTCTCTCTCTATATATATATATATATATATATATATATATATATATATATATATATATATATACAGGGTGTATATCTATCTATCTTTCAATATCCGATCTATCTATCTACTTCAATCTCTTTATATCGATATATATTTCTCAGTACATATCTCATTCTCTCTCTCTCTCTCTCTCTCTATCTATCTATCTAATTCAGTCTCTTTATATCTATCTACCTACTTCAGTCCATTCATATCTATCTATCTATCTACATCAATCTCTTCATATGTATCCAATTCAGTTTCTTTATATCTGTCTATTTACCTACTTCAGATCATTCATATCTATCTATCTATCTTTTTCAGTCTGTACATATCTATCTATCTATCTATCTTTTTCAGTCTGTACATATCTATCTATCTATCTATCTATATATATATATATATATATATATATATATATATATATAAGTGAACATTGAAGCCAACACTCAGAGGCGACAGGCTGTTTCATGCTAGACGCAATTGTCAGGCCGCGAATGTTGGATTTTTCCTCGTCTATTTTATATATGGATCAGTGGTGCATTGCGGATAATCCATTCTGGCGGTTATTTTTGTGCCTTGCTTTATTTGTTTGTTTGGGTTAATTAATTTTACTTGCTTTTCATCTTCATTATATATTATTTATTCTTTTCGGTTTTTGATGTTTTATTAACATAGTAAACACATTTTGGGAGGATTTGCTTAGGTCGCTTATTTAATAGTTTTATTTGTCCAATGATTGCTTGCCATAGTCTATTCTGTTATTTGGGCGGGGGTGGACAGTTTTTAATTAATTTATTTATTTGGATTTATTATTTTTACTTGTTTTTCCTTATTTATGCTTATTTTATTAGTTCTAACGGTTATTTTAGCGGGGGCGATTTGTTAATTTGTTCATTCATTTATTTATTTGGATTAATTTTTATTTATTTTTTATTTGTTTACTTATTTTTTATTTTGCATACTTTTATTTATTCTGTTTGGTTTTCGATTTTTGAGTAACGTAGTAAAGGTTTTTTGTTTTGTTTTATTGTTATATAGCAGTTACAGCTATTTTTACTTCCAATTTTTGGATTGGTTGTTGTAGTCTATTCTAATTTTATTTTGGCGGGATTGGTTTGTTAATTTGTTTATTATTATTTATTTTATTTATTTATTTGGGTTGATTATTTTTACTTGTTTTTTATGTATTTTATTTTATTTTATTTACTTTATTTCGTCTATTCTAACGGGAGTTCTTATTAATTTGTTTATTATTTGTTTGGGTTATTTATTTGAATTGTTTTTTTATATTATTTTATTTATTTGTATCTATTCATTTCATTTATCGATTTTTAAGTAACGTAGTAAAAAATTGTTTTCATGTCTGCATTTTGAGACGAGCTCAGATCGTTTATTTAGTAATTAATTTTGGTCTGGGAAAGTAATAATAGCTTTTATTTTCCTCCAAGCCAAATTTGCAGGTTTTTGATTGATTGTTGTAGGCTGATGATCTTTTCCTTATTTTCCATATTTTCGGTGTGATTTGTGTTTTATTTTTAATTACTCCGATATACTTTGAAAGCATTGTGCTGTTCGCGTATTTACTATTGTAAAAGATGTTTTGTGTGCATCGTTTCTTGGTTTCCAAGAAACCAAGAAACGATGCACAGAAAACAGCCTGTCGCCTCTGACTGTTGACTTCAATGTTCACTTTTATATTTATATTTACATACTGTCTCTGATACTGAGCACTTTATCTCATAAATATAGCTCACCTTAAAACTATATTTCTTAATATATTTCTTAATATATATATACATATATATACATATATACATATATATATATATATAGGCTATATAAAAATATTATAAAAGGTTTTTGCGGGTTTCTCACATAAAAACAAGGACAGATCTTTCGTTTATGAGTTATTAAGTTTAAACAAATTTTATGGTAGATGCAGCTGTGTTGACATTTACACTCATCCTATGGTTTGCGGTGCCACAGATCCTGCCACAGGAACGCGACGATAAATAGCATCAAATGTTCGATGACTCGGCTGCCGTCGGTCCTGAAACCTAATCTGACACAGCCGTGCAGCCTCACCTCCATTACTATTCGCGCGGGCCTAAGTAAAAATGATATCTGCCTGCTCACGATATGAATATTCTGCCACCGTTAAACGAATCACTTCTCAATTAACTCATACTGTAAACGACAAACGTTGAAAACCGACTAACCACAAATGTACACGAATGATAAATGTAATCTAGTGTACCTGGCAACACAGCGCCTTATACCGTAGAATTTCTGTAAAGTTAATACCTTAATATTTTTGCATGGACTTTTCTCCTTGTTTTGGTGTGAGGGAACACGCTTCCAATGTTTGTATATATATATATATATATATATATATATATATATATATATATATATATATATATATATATATATATATATATATATATATATATATATATATATATATATATATATATAAAAATCCACTTTCATCCCTACCGTGCGCCGACGGCTTAATGGTTAGAATCTCCGACCAACACCAATTCAGTCGAGTTTCGATCCTAACTAGAGTCAACCGGATGTCTAGCCACACTGATGAGCTGCGAAACAGTCTGTCTGTGGATGACGCTATATATATATATATATATATATAACACTTAAGACACGCTAGTGATTTGCAAACGAAGCCGCATATGGAGTGAGAATTTGTAAGATGAGGTCCTTTTTAGGTTGGCTGTTCTTTTAGATCTTGCTCTCGCTTCTTGAAGACGATTCAGACTAGCAGACTGAAAACCTCTGAGTCCACTGAAAAACATTGATCTTCAATCTACCCGCTCCAAGGCTAAGCGCTCGAGGGTGTTACGTGGTATATCGACAGCTGACAACTGGCTCTTCATCTTGTCTTTTAATCTAAGCCACGAGCGCCCTGCATTCCTGTAGCCCTGATCTGACTGACTACATTAGGATCTTGGGTATTCTGTTATCAAACATTCTCAAGACATGATATATATATATATATATATATATATATATATATATATATATATATATATATATATATTGTCGTTCAATTAGGTGCCTTGGGTTTCTTTTTTTTAATCCGCTTCTTTGGTTTAAAGAAATATTTCATATAATGTATTTCGTGATTACTGGTTTATATTATTTAAATTGTTTCGTATCTCCAAGTGTATCCGACTCAGACATTGGCGCATGCGTGTCGAATTTAATTACGTGACAGAAATCATGAAGCGAAGGAATTTACTTGAGAAAGGCGAGTACGTTTTTGCTTTCTGAACCGTATCTTTATCCGTTTTTTTCCCCCCGCTTTATTTTCTTCTTTATTCTAAATCGTTCGATTTAAAGTCGATGAAAAAAAAATCAAATCAAGTTATTGCTTCGGGATATTATTATACAGGTTTGTTCGCCCTATTTTTCGCTGTCAGGGCATGATTATTCGGTGCTAACTTACTCTCTATGTAATGCGAGATTCCTTGTATTGATTGTGTTATATGATACTGTCAACAAGTTTCATGTAGTTTGTTGTGTTTATCGCTTATTAAAAAGACTAAAAACACACAGGCATACATATATATGTATGCTAAGAGAAAGACATACAGAAAATACGGCCGCAATAAAGATAACATTATTAACAACAATAAACTAGATAAAAACAGATACATCATTGTTATGGTCCAGGTCGTTGTATCACGATGATGGTCCAAGGTAGAACCAATAAATAAGAACTCGAACACGGATATGGAATAACACAGATATATTACAAACAGAAATATATACAGAGAAGTAGAAAATGTTAGTACGAACAATCAGGTTTAGTAGGGAGAACAATGTAGTCTCGACCAGTATCACTATTCCAATGTCTTGTAGTAATTGTCTGAAACGTGACTCTGTTTCGGACTGCCTCTGACTCGACTGACTGACTGACTCGCTCGGACTGACACCCCTGACGGACTTCACTCCAGACTTCAGACTGAACGGTATTTAGTCCCCCCCCGCCCCACGACGAGGGCATCATGTGGCACAAGGCCGGTTTAACGTGGGATCTCCGAGCCCGTGGGCTCGGCCAAAAATATGACCTTTGAACCCGTATAAACGGGTTCAGGGTCGGTTTACCTCCCCGAAAGAGACTCCGCCCATCGGCGTAGCCTCGTTCGGGTTCCTCCTCGCCCGAAGGCAGAGAGTTCAACCGATCAGCCGATCAGCCGGTCGCCCGACTTCGGACTGAACTCCCTGCTTCCTGTTGAGGCGCAGTATTTATTACGTATGGAATAGTCCATTATGTTATTATGGGTAAGATTCATAACAATAATACTACCTACTAACTCCATAATATCCACAATCCAAAGCAATCTATCCGTTCTAAACAACATCGAAATAATTATAACCAAATAATATGGATATCATCAGCACCAAAAATATCCATCACAATAATAATTCTGAAGCAGGTATATATAAAATAAATTGTCAGAACTGCTCCTCACGATACATTGGGGAAACTGTCAAAAATTAAGAAAACGTATCTCGGAACACAAAAGGGATCTTACACACGATAATTTATCAAATGCATTAGTTATACATCAATCACAATTTTTATCTAAAGAATGCCACACTTATTTAACGAGAAAGTAAGTTACTTAGAAGAAAAATAGTATTGCTATGGAATCTTATCAAAATAGAAATGTTTTTTAATATTTCCATTCCTGAAAGAATTACAACTTTCCCTGACCAAGATACATGACTCCAAAAATATTAAAAAAGAAAAAGAAAACTTACCCAAATACAAAGAATACTTATCCAAATAAGAAATATACATAGAAAACACTTTCCAAATCCTCCAATATCCTTATTATTTCGTCTACAATACTAAGAGAAAGGTATACGACCACAAAAAAGATAACATTATTAACAACAATAAACTAGATAAAAACAGATACATAATACTACTTATTAACTCCATAACATCCACAATCCAATGCAATCTATCCATTCTAAACAACATCAAAATAATTCCAACCTCGTCCAAAACTAATATTAATATAATATACCATCAAAAATACGCATAGCAATTATAATTCTAAAGCAGGTATTTATAAAATAAACTGTCACAACTAATATTCACAAAACATTAGGAAATCTTGTAGAAAATTAAAAAAAAAAAACGTATCTAGGAACACAAAAACTAATTTATATACAACAATTTATCAAATGTATTACTTTTACATAGAAATAAATTCAACCACAACTTTGGTCTAAAGAATGATACACTTATTAAAATAAAAACAAAATAACTCCATTCCTGAACAAATTACTTTCCCAAGCCAAGACAAGATAAACCAGCAGAT